CTCAGCCAGCAAAGCTGGCTGAGGAATTCTGGGAGTTGAAGTCTACAAGTCTTAAAGTTGCCAAGGTTGGACACCCCTGGTGTAAAGTGACATTTTGGCTTTGTTCTGTGGGTTTTGTTATAAATACCCATGGATGGCCCAGTCTGTTTTGAACATCTTTGTTTAAAATGTCTCATGAAATTAGACTCTTCAAATTCCTCTTGAATTGTGCCATTATTAGATAAAGCCTTGATAGCTTTTGCTTGAAACTTTGGCAAGATAATATTAGTTTAATGTTACTCTGCTAATTCCAAAAAAAGCTGCCTCATATACATTCCTTTAGGGTTTAAAAAATTTTGCTGCACAATTTTTCTAAATTTAGATAGCTTTTTTTAAAAAGCTGACTAAATTGCACCAAATTGTTATGATACATAAAACTTCTGCTTTTTATCGGAGTTAAGTATTTTCCTCTGAAACTTTTTTTATCAAAGAACCATAAGGATATTGAATTCCTATGGGTTTTTTTTTTTTTTTTTGGTTTTTTTTTTTTTTTTTGAGGGGGGGAGTGACCTTTTTTAAAGAATATGCCTCCCTTTATTTTACACTTGCAGGTAAAAACTTACCAGGCTAGCCAGAGGATTACAGCTGGGGAAAATTATTTACTTTGCATCAGTAAGAATATGCTAAAGAATCTTCCTCGGGTTTTATTGCAATATTTCATCAGCTTTAGTTTATTTTTTAAAAATTTTAAATAGTGATGCCCGGTTGTGTCCTTGAGTCGTGCAAAAACAAAAACTAAAAAGTAATAATAATCCATACTGTTTCTCTGCATATATCCAAGCCTGAGTGTTCCAGATGCTCAATTTATTTACACATGGTGGCTAGTTTTCTAGATGGATCATGTACCTACAATAGCCATTATATTTTCAAGAAATGTCATCTTCCACTTGCCTCCCATTTAATTACATATGTGCCTTTTTAAATTAGTTGTGGGAAGTTTCATTACTCTCACCTGTTCATTGGGAAAAATAAATATTTTGGTTCCAGTGTGTGTTTCCCTTCTTGCCAAAATCTACATTGTCTCAACTGATCTACACAATCACCTCTACAGTGGTAATTTCCTGCATCCAATTTAGCCACATACCTCCTGCTAGGATGGATGAGATAGTTTTACATTTTTAATAAAGCAATGAGATCTGTGTAAATTATTCTATATGCTTTAATAAATGGCTGATTTTGGCATCTTCCTCTCCCTCTCCCTCTCTCCCTCTCCCTCTCTCTCTCCCTCTCTCTCTCCCTTGACTCTTGCCAACTTGTAAAGACTAATGTTTTGTTACTCGTTTATCTTTATATGGGATTTTTTTTCCTGTGTACATATATGTAAAAAGAAAACAAGGGGGGAAAAAGATAATACAAAAAAAATTATACCAGAGAGGGTTACACTATTTAATCTTCTCTAGCAGCAAGGGCAACTTGCCTGGGGTTTTGTGTTTTAATACAAAGGACGGAAATGTATGGACACGGATGGATAGATTCCCCCCTCCCCCACCCTCTTTCCTAGCTGCCCAGTGGATGGATGTTTTTTTTTAACTTGCATACCTATTCTGTCTATATAAATATTATATATAGAGATATATATAAATATATAAATATATTTTCGTTTGATCTTACTGGCTTCCTATTTGTAAATATGTTAATAATTTGTGGATTCATTACTTGGTGCCAGATAGCACATTTTTATAAAAGTCATTAAACTTTTATTGTACAAAAATGTATGGCTTTTGTTCTTATTTCTCTGCTCTGGATCTCTTGGAAATACAAATTTTATAAATAATGCTGAAAATTACATTAGCGAGCTCCAAAATATATAAAGACAGCATCTATGGGTAGAAATCTGGATTGAAGTCACTTCAACTGAGAGTTCATTGTGTGATTTAACCCATTTTAGTCATAGGCCCGCTAGGATATTGCAAGCAAAAAAAAGGCCAAGCTTGAAATTAAATTCTCATGAAATAATAAGATCATTACACTGGTTTATCTTTCTCTTTAAAAAAAATATCTAGGAATCATTCATTCAGATTTGCCTCCTCTTACTAGTGCATAATATATCTGCACAAGCGTTCTGTTCTTTGCAAGTCATGATAATTAAATCTGAACATCAATCAGTTCTACGCTAATTAAATCACAACATTTTGGAGAAAAGTGCAATTTATTTGTCTGCAGTTTTGGCATATTTAATTATCTGTAGCTGCTTTAGAAATGTTCCATCTGATAGTGAAATAATTTTTTCATGGAAATTATGCTTTTTCAAAAAATACTATGCTGAGGACTAACAACTTAAAAAACTTTTTCAGGAAGTATGAGAAGGACCAAGCTTAGAAAAGTTTACTTATAATTAATAATAGTTTATTATAGCAATAGCACTTACATACCACTTCACAGTGCTTTACAGCCCCCTCTCTAAGCGGTTTACAGAGTCAGCCTATTGCCCTCAACAATCTGGTTCTCATTTTACCCACCTCAGAAGGATGGAAGGCTACAGCACCCCTACAGCTCTCATATATTGTACTACATCATTATTATAATGTGCTCATATTGAAACACATCTCTAGGTGCACGAAATAGGAAAAACAACAATTCTGCAAATCATGAAAAAAACAAATATGGCATCCCATGCTAACGTCCCATACATATACAGGTAGTCCACTACTTACAACAGTTCACTTAGTGATCCTTTGACCTTTTAAAGGCACTGAAAAAAAGTGACATGACCGTTTTTCACAAATATATGACCATGGCAGCATCCCTATGGTTATATGATTTACATTTGGATGTTTGGCAACTGGTTCATATTTATGACATTTGCAGTGTCCTGGGGTCATGTTATCAACTTTTGCAACCTGACAAGTGAAGATAATGGGGAAGCCAGACTTATAATAAATGTGTCAAGAAAAAGGGCCCAGCAGAGATTATACTACCTGAGACTTCTCAGAAAACAACAACTGAATGAAAAACTGCTGATAACCTACCACTGCACCATAGAGAGCATTTTAACATACTGCACCTCTATATGGTTTGCCAATTGCACAGTGGCAGATAGGAAAGCACTCCAGAGGGTTAATGTCATTGCCCAGAAGATCATTGGTTGCCCTCTCCCCTCTTTGGAAGAGCTTTATAGCTCCCGCTGCCTTAAGAAAGCTCAGAACATTCTCAAAGATCCATCTCATCCTGGGAACCCTTTTTTAAACTATTACCATCTGGCAGACGGTACAGAATAATAAAAACAAGGACAAATAGGCTGAAAAACATCTTCTATCCCAGGGCAGTAGCTCTTTTGAATTCTGCTATATAGTGCAGTGTTGGGGGTTTTCAGTTCAATGCGTGGAGGGTAATGGATGTGTGTTTGTGGGAGGGCGGAGCTGGCGTTGCGACGGTACAGCGGGCGATTTTGAAGCGCCAAGATCACCACTGATATCTGTTGCAGGACAGTCCCACCAGACCTAAACCATCCCGTAGAGATGGTGATTGAGAAGAGCACATCCTGTTGATCCCAGGGACATCGCAAAGTCCCTGGTAGATCCAGGAGAAGCCCTTTTTTCCCACGGCAGAGAGGCAGCCATTTAAGCTCTGGAACGGAAGAAAGCTGGAAAGAAAGTGTCTCAGTTTGGTGAGATAAATTTTTACTTACTATTTTTTGTACTAAAAGTAAAATTTAAAAGTGAAGATAAAAGTGGTTAAGCGGCGAGATTAAGCACAAATTAAATCTGAAGGTTTTTTTTCCTTTTTATTGGAACTTGGATTTTTGTAAAAGCTTCTCAATTTTTAAACTGGACTGGTTTTTCTTTTTTAACCTTCATTTTTTAAAATAACTCCTTTGAAAGTCCCTTTTAGTTAAGATTTTCTTTTTTCTTTTCCTTTTAACGACTTTATATATATATTTTTCATTTATTCCTGACTGAAATATTAGAGGGGAAGTGAAAGCGAAGGGAAATAAGTAACAGTGCCATCTGGAGGCTTGGATACATTGTTTTTTTTTCTCACTTATTTAATCTGGTATTCAAGGACTCTGAGCCTTTCACTGAAAAGATAGTGGGAAGAGCACATAGATTGTTTATGCAGGTGCTTTTCTGTGAAACTACTAATAGCTGGAGTCTGGAGTTGAAATTGAAAGAAGTCTGAAGTGACCTTGAAAAGAGAACTGGAAATTCTGTTTTTTGATTTAGTAAAGAGCCTTGGATATTTAGTGGCAGTGCTTTGCTTATTGACAGAATAGCATTTTATCCCTCCTTTTTTTTTTTTACTTCCCCTCCAGTTGGATTTTTATATTTGGACTTTAGCCTTTTGATACAGGAATTAGATTACATTTTTTCTCCCCTCCTCCTCTTTTCGCTCTATCTTTTTAGCAAGGCGAATATACAGATTTCTGTCTTTTTAACTTTATTTATTTTTTCATCCTTTCTTCATTTTATTTTCTTTTTCTTTTACATAACTGGAACCAAGTGGATTAAGGTACACAAGTGCCTGAAGATCTTTTTCCTCCCCTTT